CAGCCCTCTCGCCTTCGTTCCCACAGGAAGCCACCTCTTCCTCCTTGTCTTCGACAAACCCCTGCCCTCACTCCTGCTGCTGGGCCGTTGGTGCCATCAGAGCAAAGCCCTGCTGGGAAGGGGAGGTGGGGAGGGGCCCAGTCCCAATGCCCCATCTGGAAGCAACTCAGACGGCAGAAGCAGGAGGAGGAAACAGTCCCGGTCTCCCTTTGTAAGTGAACTGCTGCTGCTGCTGGGCGGGGGTGGGTGGCGAGTGCTGGGGACGCAGTTTTGTGGTACTCATCTTGCATCTATGGCCAGCTGTTTGGGGCAGAGGGGGATGGCTACAAGGCTGGAGTATGCACATTGTCAATACCAGAACAGTCCCCAGGGAGGGGCCTGGATTCCCCCATCAGGAGAGAAGGGGACCTCCATCCTGCCTGAGGCCACAGCAGCCCGGGAGCTGAGCTGGCAAGGAGAGGCGCAGCTTTCTTGTTCAGAGGGAAGTGAGGAGACATGGCAGCCAGCCCCAGACAAGTGGTCCCAGCCATGGAGCTGTCCGGAGGTGGCCAGCGCCTCATTAGCCTCCCGCAGAATGGAGTGTGGACAGGACACGCGAGCTGTGGCCGAGGCTGTGGTTCAAGTCATTGCACCTTGGGTTGCACTAGGGGCATCATGAATGTGGGTGGTTCCTGCTGCAGCGGTGGAGACAGCAGGGTGCCTCCCGGTCTTCTGGGGGTGTCCCTCAGGGCTGCTGCCACCTCCGGGGGGTGGGGCTGCGCATCACTTGCACTGGTCCAAATTGCCATCAGGAGTCCTTGCTTGGTCAGTGGCCAGGGACGCCTCCTCGCTGTGCCAGAGACCATAGCCAAAGTAGATGATGAAGCCTGCAGGCCGCAAGCAGAGAGATGGGGCATGAATGGAGTGGGACAGGCTCGGGAACCAGACGGAAGGTGGCCCAGGGCTCACAGTCCCGTGGAAAAGCCTCCTGCACACTGCCTGCCCCTGCCTGGCCAAGCCCATAGCCAGCAGCCCTCATGGGCTGACTTTCAACCCTTCAAGTAGGTCAGCAAAGGTCTGGCTTCCATACATGGCAAAGCCACGTGTCTCTCTGGACGGCCTCTCACTGTAGAGCTTCCTAAGCAGACAGAGCAGCTAGGCCAGGCCAGGGGGGATGTGGGGCCCTTCAGCTTAACCCCTTGGCCACCTCTGGGTGACCCAAGAGCATTGGGAAGTCGAGCTGCTCCCTGCCAGGCAGGATTCCCAGCAGTTGCCGGAGGTCCCCAGGCTCTCTGTCTGGATGATCCCTACTGCCCCTTTTGTCTACATTAAGTGACCATCAGACTGCAGGAGACACTTAATACCCGGGAACATATTTAACCCAAGAATCCACTGCCCTTTTCCAGCATCCAGAACTCCAGAGGTCCATGGCAGGGTGGGGACCTGTGCTTCTACCATGCA